GGCACCATGGCAAAACGCCAAAAACTTGATTACTCTGTGAGACAAGCTATTGTGAAGCTACACAAGGAAAAGCACACCATTAGAGTGATTTCAGAGAAAGTGAAACGTTCCAAGATTGTTGTAGGCAGGGTTGTTAAATCCTACAATGATACTGGCAAAATAGTTAGTGCTTTTAAAACCGGCAGACCCCGCAAAACGTCGACAAGAGAAGATCGAATAATGCAGCGTATGTCATTAAAGGATCGTTTTAAGTCTTGCACAGAAATTAAAAGAGTTATGAATAGTACCTCATGTGTTAATGTGTCAAGACAGACTGTTTGTAGACGACAGCAAGAAATAGGGCTGTTTAATCGAACCCCAGGGAAGAAACCACTTGTTAGTTCGAAGAATAAGAAGAGATTAGAGTTTGCAAACAGGTATGTAATTTGGACATATGAAAATTGGGCAAAAGTATTTTTCAGTGATGAAAGCAAGTTTAATTTATTTGGAAATGATGGAAAAAACAATGAAAAGAGACGTATTGGTGAAAGATTAAGTGCAAAGTGTACTAAGAAAACTGTCAAGTTTGGGGGCGGAAGCGTCATGGTATTTGGAATGTTTTCTAGCCAAGGTACAACGTCCCTTGTCCGGTTACAAACTCGTGTAAACGCGCAGATCTATAAAAACATTGTTCAAGATCATGTTGTGCCAATCATACAGAATTCAGGTTTCGATAGGGCTACCTTTATGCAAGATAATACCCCATGTCACAAGGCAAAGGTGGTAATGAGTTACCTTAGCGAGCAAGATTTGGAAATTATGGATTGGCCACCGCAAAGTCCTGACTTAAATCCAATAGAAAATCTTAGGAAGACCTTAGGAGTGAAAGTTATGGAAAGAAATCCCACTAACACGGAGGATTTGTGGGTGAAGCTTCAAGAAGAATGGTCTAAAATTAGTATCGAGGATTGTCAAGAACTGATTCGTTCTTGTAGTCGAAGATGTGCAGCTGTTATTGAGAGCAAGGGCTCATTTACTAAATATTGATTGTACATGTATTTTTATTGTTTTTTTGCCGTTTACATTGTTTTTCTCAATTTTGTCCCTTACTTTTGGACGTTCCAAATTTGAAAATAAATAAATAATTGTTATAATTCTTTTTCTATACTTTGCAAATGATTCAAATTTTAGTATGTTATGGATGATAACGACTACCAGTTGTCAAAATTTCAGCTTTTCACAGTTGTTATTTCTAACAAATATTAGGTTTTAAAATTTTGTCCCTTAGTTTTGGACGCTACTGTATATATAGTGTAACCCGGATATAAGAGAGTTGTCGGGACCGGAGAAGAAGTTTCTTATATCCGGGTTTGGTCTATTTTGTTTAGGTAAGTATGGCTCTAATTTGGGATCAGAGAAAATCTCTCTTATATCCTGGTTTCTCTTATATCCGGGTCTCTTATATCCGGGTTACACTATATATAGATTCTGTGTATTTAAGTGTAAATATTCATTATGACAAATATTATTAAAGACATTTTGCGTCGATTTCATTTGCCACCTATCGGGCCATCAGACAGACATCACATTAATAAGTAGCATAAGGATCCTCGTAACATCATACAGCTACTCACAAACAATACCAAACTACTAGTCAAATTAAATAATCAAATCAGACTTGTGAACCTTGAAGCATGACGTAGGACAGCACATCAACGCAAAACGGGTTGGATAATGTCAAACAATAGACAAGTATGACTATGCCAGAATTGGCTTATGGCTGCAATTGATAGACCGTTGTGGAGGAGATTCAATGTGGCTTTTGTATTCGGATCGCTCCCTACGATTACAAAGGTCAATGGGATGACGATAAGGATGATGATGATGATCCTCAAAAAAAAAAACCCATAAATAAATAAAAAATAAAATGCAATATAAAACCATTGACGTCACAACTTACCACGTCACATCATTTTTTGCCTACGTCACAACACTCATCATTCGTCTCTATGACGATGATTTTAAAAAGTCAAAAGCTTACACCATTTCTTTCGAAATGATCTTCGGACATTTACAGAAATTCCATACTTGTCTAAGAAGTAATTTGTAAAAGATGATCAGTAAATGTCTGTTATCTTTAATCTTACTTATTATAAAACGCAGATTGTGTGTGTGTCTGTAACGTTTATATATTGGATCGGATTTCCAACATTTTTCAAACGATTTCAACAAAACTTCACAGGACTACATAAAATTACCTTGTGGTGGTTCTAACAGCGCCAAAAATGGGCAAAATATAATTGTTTTTACACAAAATCAATTTGAAAACACGATTAACAGACATCGTGAAAATGGAAGGGGGACAACTCATATCGGGTTGTTTGTGTGTGTGGGTTACTTTAAATATGGGAGCGGATTTCCTATATTTTTCAGCTGATAAAACAAAACTTCACTTTTTTTTGGCAGGTAGTGTTTCTTATTCTCTTGCAAACTTTTCTTTATTTTTACATTCAGAATGCTTTAAAAATTCCATTTACAAGACAATTGTTTATAATATAATTCTATTCAATCGATAGACTCATAACGATTAAAAACAATGTTTTTGTTTGAGTTTGGGTTTGACCAATTTGAAAAAAACAAAAAAAACTAATTAAGACATGCGTGTCCGTCAACCTTAAACAATAATCTTTGTCAATTTTATTTTTCAGTCTTTATGATGGTGGATACTTGATCTATCTCTTACTGTTATATCCCCGGACAACGCCGGGCTCTACTGCTAGTTATATATAATTCTTAACTAAGTATTGCTTAGATGTGACACAAGGCCGAAAGTAGGGAGCAAAAAGTGAGAATCGAACACAGTACTTCGTGATGACTAATTATGCCTGACTATATATATATATATATATATATATATATATATATATACATACATATATATAATATTTTTGTTTAAAAATATGATTGCTTCGCTACATAAGAGTTCTCATGTTTCAAAAACGAAAGCCGGAACCATCCAAATAATTATTAAAATTAATTGAATTAAGGTGTTTAGTCCCGTTTCATCTTCAAGCGAAATTTTAGGAATAAGCTATCTTTTGGTTTAAGTGTGTTTTTAAGCATGTTTCGTTATAACATTCGTTATTGTGGGAGTGGCTAGGCGAGTTATCTTCGTTAAGTGGTCAGAGAGTTAATTCATTATCTATAGATTCATCATCTTCTGAGAGGTTTTGCTCAGGTTGGGTAGGGTATCTATTTCAAGGCTAAGGTTGGCGGTCATCCTCTAGTTTGTTCCCAGCGAGGGATATGTTTATGGCGCGCCTATAAGTCGTTATGTGTCGGGAGGATTGCGTTTTATTATTATCTATCTGATTATCTCTTTATTTATTTGTTTATTCAAGTGGGTGTTTTATATACAAACCGTATTGCACTGAATTTCAATTTGTTTTTTGACGACTACAGAAAGGGTTTTTCCTATTTAATGATTTGGATTTTAATAATTATTTGGATGGTTCTGTTTCTCGTTTTTGAAACATGAGAACTCTTATGTAGCGAAGGAATCATATTTTTAAGCAAAAAATATTATAATATAAGCTGTACTTCTGTATGGAGCACTGTCTTCTTAAAAATAAAAACAAAAAATACTAAGGAACCCCGGATTATGCACCCAACGTGTTCTTTTCTGCATACCTGCGCACTTTCTGCTATCGTTTTTTTCCTTCTCTCTCTTTCTTTCTCAATTTGTTTTTATCTATCTTTTTGCTTTTTACATAGGTTTAGTTTTCTTTTTCTCTTTCTGTCTTATCTTTTTTTCCATACGTAATTTTGCGAATGAGGACAAAAACTTCTAGAAAGATAAATTCATGTCACACACACACACACACACACACACACACACACACACACACACACACACACACACACACAGATATACATATATATATATATATATATATATATAACCGAATGGGTAAGTATAGGTAGGTATTCGAACAAGCGATCGTAAAACAAATACATATAAATATTCTATAGTGTAAGAAACAACAGCGCTAAATGTTAAGTAACAGAGCTATATAATATATATATATATATATATATATATATATATATATATATGTATATTTGAATATATATATATATATATATATATATGTATATTTTAATATATATATATATATATATATATTAAAATGTACATAGTATCTTACATTACAATGTAAAATGTTATATATTTCTTAATATATATATATATATATATATATATATATATATATATATATATATATATATATATTTAGTTGGATAGATGAGTTTGTGACCCTAAACCCAGGGTCAAACTCACATCTATCCAACTAAATATGTTAGCTCTATCTCTGATATTGAGCGCTTTTAATAAGTACCATATATATAATATATAAATAATTATACATATATATATATATTTATTTATATTTATATTCACTTTTCACATATATATATATATATATATATATATATATATATATATATATTTTATATATATATATATATATATATATATATATTAAAATATACATAGTATCTTACATTACAATGTAAAATGTTATGTATATTTCTTAATATATATATATATATGTGTGTGTGTGTGTGTGTGTGTGTGTGTGCAGAGACTGAGACTGACGAATAGATGTAAAAGGGGCAGAGGAAGGAAGGATCTTCAAAATAAAGTAGAAAATAAAAAACAAAACTGGAGATCCCTTATTTTTTAAAGACGTCATAAAAAGAAGCAAAAATGGAAAGAAATCGCTGGCAAAGTTTTCACAGGCGGATTTGAGTTGACCCGGCAGTTTTTTCAGAGGATTAGAATATAGGTGTAAAATGTCAATTTCTTCCTGCCACTACAAGACAAAACGACGGGGTACGATTCGTCTCCAGTAAAAAATAATAATAATAATAATAAAGAAAACTAAAAATCAAGAAATACCCCCCCAAATAAAATAAAATAAAAAAAAAAAACAATATTATATTTTTTTTACTACGAATCACGATGGAGCGTTGAGAAGTTTCTCACATACCGCCTGAGAGAGAGAGAGGGAGAGAGAGAGAGAGAGAGGGAAGAGAGAGAGAAGAGAGAGAAAGAGAGAGAGAAAGAGAGGGGGAGAGAGAGGAAGAGAGAGAGAAAGAAAGCGAGAAAGAGAGAGAGATGGAAAGAGAGAGAGAAAGAGAGAAAGAGGGAAAGAGAGATAGAAAGAGAGAGAGGGAAAGAGAAAGACAGGGAAAGAGAGAGAGAGAGAGAGAGAGGGAAAGAGAGTGAGAGAGGGAAAGAGAGAGAGAGAGGAAAAGAGAGAGAGAAAGAAAGAGACAGAAACAGAGACAGAAAGTGAGAGAGAAAGAGGGAGAGAAGGAAAGAGAGAGAGGAAGAGAGGGAAAAGAGGGAGGGAAAGAGAGAGAGAGGGGAAGAGAGAGGAGGGGAGAGAGAGGGAAGAGAGAGAGAAAGAGAGAGAGAAAGTGACAGAGAGAAAGAGAGAGAGGGAAGAGAGAGAGAAAGAGAGAGAGAGAGAGAGAAAGAGAGAGCTAGAGAGAGAGAGGGGGTATTAGTTTATTGGTGGAAAATAATTCGTCATCTAAAAGGCCTCGGAGACGCTTTTTTATAACTCTATCGTGACTGGTACCTGAGGTGTGAGCAGCTCACTCCCAAATATGACAAAAATACTCCATTTTTGGCCTGATTGGGTTCTTGTAAAGGTAGAGAGTATCATGAGGGCTCAGGTACTTACTTGGAACGGTACAGGGAGCCGACCATTTTTCCTGCATCTTTGGCGATGAATCGTATGTAAAAATTTCATTTGAAGTTTTTGTCAGTTATTTTCGTCGGGTAGCAGATTATTTTTGTCAACAAGTATTTTTCTATATTGTGAAGTTGGACAACTATAAAACAGAGGCCGTTTGCGTGTGTTATTAAGAACTTATTAGACAAAAGGAAAAAGTCAGTATAAAAATAAGAACATAATATGTCTATTATTCAATGAAACACAAACACACACACATACATATAAATATATATAAGTTTGAATAATGAAAAATATTAAAAAATAAAAATTTTTCAGACACACTGGGTTGTATATTAATATTTTTTGTTTTATTATTTCAATTAGGTTCCTCAACTAGTTTCGGCCAGCATTGCCATCATCAGGAGAAAAAAATCCCTGCTTGTTAGTAGCAGTGAACTACAGGAGTGAATGACTGTCTTTGAAGAACGTGAACTTTATCTGTCATTTGTTTTTTTTATCATTAATTTTGGTTAAACGATCTCTTTCAAGTTGTTTTTAAGATAGAGGATGGCAGATTCCTGACTAAGAATTTCCTCCTTGGTCATTTTTAACATCTTTATTGGTTGCTGGGAAGGGGATGTGTGTGTTAATTGCATGTTACCTTTTAGTTTTTTTGGAGTGTGTTTGATGTGTGTATGTGTATATATTTGTGAGAGTGTATGTATAAGTGTGAGACCTCAGCAAGCGTGTTTATCTTGTGTGGGTGAGAAATGTGGGTAGGGCTTGATTTGTGGGGTTACATGTTAATTCTGTGTTGTTAACTTTGTGGTTAAGCCCGTCTGAACGAAGTGTATAGCGAATTTTGCATGGCTTTTAAAATCATTTATCAAGAAATGTTTCCTTGAATAATTAAGACGAGTTTTGTCTACTTATTTTCAATTGGATCCTTTCATATTCACGGACAAGATTTTTGGTGTCATTATTAAAGGAAAAAAGAAAATCGTCGTGTTGATATATATTATTTTATTTAGAGTACTTTTGACAGCCCAATGTCATCATTAGGGTGTTTGGCTATTTCAAGACAAATGTAGTGTTGATTATTTTTAAAGACAAAGTTCTTGCGTCCATCTGAAAATTTTTTACTTGTGAAGTAAAGAAAGCTGAGTACGTGATAGATTGACAGTACTTCAGGGAAGTAGCTAAGTAATAAAATATGTATTAAAACTGTCTATATTTCTGAGATAAGGTATTATATACAGTATTTAAATTGTTCGGACTATCGTTCTCTTCTTTGGTACCATATTTATCACAACGTTTCGGTTGTTGTACGCTCCGACCTTCTTCAGGTGATTGGAATGTCGAACTGAACCCTTTATTTCGCTCCCTGAGTTAAACTGTTCTAGTTCCACGTGCCATGTCTAATGGATGTCAGTTATCAGTTATATCCTGTTAATTCCCCTCTCCAAGTTCTTCACCGCCTTAACCAGGTATTGCACATATGCTAGGCCACAAAAATCTCCTGAGCCAACGAAGCATAGAAATGACTTCTGTTGTGGTAAACGCTCCTACAGTAGAATGAACTCTTCCTCCTCTCATAAATACAAACTGCGAGAGTCGGATAGGAGAGTGGAGTGGAGTGGAGTGGAGTGGAGTGGAGTGGAGTGGAGTGGAGTAGAGTAGTAGACGCAGTGTTAATCTACTTATTACTAATACTATTATTTTGTATATATCTTCAATATACTTTTTTTTTAGCCCACCTTGGTCTTCCGTGTCTTTCTTTCTGGCCCCTAAACAGGCCACAACAAATACAATATGGAAACCAGTAATAAAGAGTACCAGAGAAAAAGCAATAATAACAACAAAAATTGCAATATGAGCTCTGGTAAAAAAATGTATGATAACAGCAAAAATTGCAATATTAGCACTGGTAAAAAATGGATGATGAAGACATTAGGTTTATAATACCCAGAAATTCATGCACAGATGTCCTCAAGAACACGTGTCACAGTGGCTAAAGGCGTTAGTTAGATCCAGTGACACAACCCAAAGAGTGTGAGTTCAATACCTGTTTAAGGCAGTGGAGAGGGAATTAACAGGAGATAACTGATAACTGACATCCATTAGACATGGCACGTGGAACTAGAATAGTCTACTCAGCGAAATAAAGGGTTCAGTTCGACATTCCAAGAAGAAGCCTTGTGATTAATATGGCAGATAGTCCGAACAATGTAAATACTGTATATCCTACCTAATCTCAGAAATATAGATGATTTTAATACTTATTTATATTTTATTAATTATTTTGACACATTGTTGATTTAATTTTGCCCAAACTTTTTGGACAAAGAAAATTGCTTTTGGGAACTTGTACTTTGAAGTGATGAAACAAATATTGGGCTTTTTGAACATAATGATGTAGAGCAGATTTGACGCAAAAAAGTGAGGCTTTCCTCTCAAAGAAAACAGTGGCAATATTAAAACATACAGGTGGATTGATGATTTTTTCGGGTTGGTTTGGCTCAAGGGGGACTGGAAATTAATTGCAACCAGAGGAATAATGAAATCTACAGATTATATCAAAATTCTGGATGAAAATCTACAACTATCAAAATTTACATCTATCAAGATCTTCATCTAGGTCGGCGATTTACTTTCCAGTAAAATAATGATCCCAAACGGGCATCTAAATCAGTGACTACGTGGATTCAAGAAAAGAAGATTACAGTTCTGCCATGTCCTCCAATGACTCCTGACTTGAATCCTATTGAAAATCTATGGCAAGAATTGAAAGTACGAATAAATCGTCGGTCACCAAAAAACCTTTAGAAATTAGAACGTGTAATCATTGAAAAATAGAAGAAGATCACAGAAAAACTTGTTCAAATCTCATCAAAAACTTTAGAAAACGATTACAGCAAGTTATAAAGATGAGAGGCCATGCTATTCACTATTAATATAGTGAAAATTTTTCATTTATTTCAATTTTTCATACTGTACCAATAATTTTGTCTTTTCATATTTTGCATAATTCGCCTGTAAAATTGTATTTAACCTATAGTTAGAAAATGGAGTTTTTTTATTCTTTTTTTGTGCTTATTAACCTATAAAAAACTGGTATCATGCGGGCATTAGATTCAGAGAAATGCATAAAAATATTCGAAATTGGTGGGTGTCCGAATAATTTCGTCGTTGAATGTGTTTTGTATATATATATATTTATTAAAGACATTTTTATGTTTAACGTTGTTATTTATAGATACAAGTATTTAAGCAAATGCTCTGTTTATGATAAACAGTATTAAATAACATTTACCGGCCTGAATGTCCGAGAAATTTTCATAGAAAAAATTCATTCTTTGACAGGATTCGAACCTGCTTCCTATACGGAACCGTCATATACGCTGACGTGCCTTGACCGCTCGGCCACAAAGAACCTTACGGTAGACAAGGCCGAATTTACTGTTTATAAAATTCAATCTTCCATGAATCTCGTACATTCATAACTGCTCTGGCGTATCGAATGTAAACAAATGACGTCATATGTTAAGAAATGGACAAGGTCCGACAATTTATTTATTAAAGACATTTTTATGTTTAACGTTGTTATTTATAGATACAAGTATTTAAGCAAATGCTCTGTTTATGATAAACAGTATTAAATAACATTTACCGGCCTGAATGTCCGAGAAATTTTCATAGAAAATATTCGTTCTTTGACAGGATTCGAACCTGTATTTACCGGCCTGAATGTCCGAGAAATTTTCATAGAAAATATTCGTTCTTTGACAGGATTCGAACCTGCATCCTATATCCTATATATATATATAATGCAAGCTTTAGAGCATTCTGAGACACTGGGGTGTTTATTCAAAATAAATGCGTAAAAATCCCCCCTCTCTGCCGAGAAATATCTCCGACTGATGCCAAATCAGTCGCATTTCGATTCTGGCTTGAGGCAATCGGATGTCTACCCAAACTGATGAGCAGTGATACAGCTAGACAATCTGTCTCTGACAATGACAATATATATATATATATATATATATATATATATATATATATATATATATATATATATATATATATATATATATATATATATATATATATATATATATATATAGATAGATAGATAAACGTAGTGAGCAAGACAAACCTACCCAGGTTTCACCTAAGTGCATCGTCAGGGAAAGCTGGCTAAAGAGGCAAAAGAGAAACAGCATATTTGAACTCTAAAACCGAAATTCTTAACATATGTAGGCATAAAAAATCTTGGTTACTAAATTAAGACTAATTTCCCCGTTTATTTTGTCATTCCACCTTAATGTTCGTATTTTAATATCCCCTCCCCTTTTAGTTGAATAAATCTTTAACCCCCACCCCCGGTGATTTTGTGTTCTTCTTTATCTTTGGTCACGTCGTATAATTTTGGCTATCGCCTATAAATATGCTGTTTCTCTTTGGTTTATCTAGGTCTGCTCTACAGTTGTATTGAGCTCTTTTGTTAGTTGTTTACTCGTATCGGTTTTTTTTTCTTTGGGCTTTAAACCTGTATCTGTGCGATTTTTTTCGACAGACTTTCATGTTTCTAGCTCTTTCTTTTTTTAAAAACTTTTTTTCCCTCGAGATTGATTTGATCATTGGCAAATCAAAAATTCAAGGGTTTTTCGAAACGAGTATAGTTACCTATATTTGTATTTATATATATATATATATATATATATATATATATATATATAGAGAGAGAGAGAGAGAGAGAGAGAGAGAGAGAGAGAGAGAGATTGATAATATTAGTGGTCAGTATATATTTCCAAGATGATAAAATCCAGGTAGAGCTCTATGTACAAGACAGAGCAAGAATATAATATAAAAGGCTCAAACACTAATATTTCATGGTTATAATTTATTACTTTGGAATCGTAATCAAGATTTAATTCATCAAACAATTTGCATTGAAATTAATTATTTATTAATCCGACAGATTTTATCATTTTAAACGTTATTTTAGGGCTCACCCATATCTGAATAGACGATGTGTACATTTATTAAAGGACTAACTAGAAACTGGATGGCCCCTTATTTGCTTCGACGTTTATCGGACTGGGCCAATGTTTACGTCAGCGCGCTGGTCAGAAACGTCACGTGACAAATTTGCTTTACTGAATGTTTGCCTTCTCGATTTTGATCGATAAACTGAATCGATCGTAAGAATCTTTTTTTTCTCCTGATTGATCTGTCATATATTATTTGCACGTATATTTTTGAGTTGTGTCTGTGACATAGATTTTGAGAAAGCAAATAGTGCGCATGTGCGTCGTGTGAGTTTGTGTGTCCGTGCGTGTGCTTGCGCGACTGTGTGTGTGTGTGTGTGTACCAACCAGTTATCTTTCGCTTTCCTTTTCGTAATAATCATTTCTTCCGCTGTTTTCTTTTTGTTTTTCTTACACTATCTCGGCCATTATCTCTATCTCGCTTTTATTTCCTTTTCACCATTTCCAAATGACAGGATTTTAGTGTCAAGCTCTCCATCGGCTTCCTTCAACCTTCTGGCTTATCGTCCTTCAGCGTCCAAAACATTTGACTGATTATTTTTATGCCCCGCTCCAACAGCAGAAGCAATAATAATAATAATGGATTCGGACAAGCGCGGGCTGTGTGGCATGTAGGTGGAAAATGTCAGCCATTTCATTAGCGGTTATAGAATGTATGCACAGAAAGAATACAAGTTTCGCTATGACAAAATGGCGGCCCCTCTGCATTGGTGTCTCTGTAGAAAGTATGAACTTGAAGTGGAACAGAAATAGCACCTCCACAAACCAGTGAAGGTGATCGAAAACGACCAGGTCAACATCCAAATGGACTAAAGCAATGAGGGCATCAATGCAGGCATCACGGTCGTTCAAAAAGGAAAACAGCAACAACGAAAAAGTAACACAAAAAAAGAAAAGAGCAAAAAAAAAAAACAAAAAAAAAACAAAAACAAAACAAAAAACTATTTACATTCTTCGGACTATCATCCTCATCTTTGTTGATATTCATCACAACGTTTCCACCGTTGTACTCTCCGGTCTTGTTAATTCACCTCTCCAAGTTCTCCACCGCCTTAATCAGGAATTGAACTCACATTCTTTGGGTCCTGTCACTGGATCTAACTTACGTCTTTATCCACTGTGTCACGTGTCCTTGAGGGAATCTGTATATGAATTTCTGGGTATTATAATCCTAATGTCTTCAGCACACATTTATTTTTACCAGTACTCATATTGCAATTTTTGCTGTTATCATTGCATGATTTATTTTTTACTAGAGCTCATACTGCAATTTTCTTTGTTAATATTGCTTTTTCTCTGGCACTCCTTATTACTGGTTCGCATAATGTATTCATTTCTAGGCTAGGTCGGCTCAGAAGATTTTTGTGGCCTAGTGTATGTGCTGATTCCTTAAGTTCAATACCTGGTTAAGGCGGTGGAGAACTTGGAGAGGGGAATTAACAGGAGATAACTGACATCCATTGGACATGGCACGTGGAACTAGAACAGTCTGCATAAAGGGTTCAGTTCGACATTCCAACCACCTGAAGAAGGCCGGAGCGTACGACGGCCGAAATGTTGTGATAAATATGGCAACAAAGATGTGGACAATAGTCCGAATAATGTAAATAGTGTACCTAATACCTCATCTCAGAAATATAGACAGATACTGAAGTGTGATAAATATGGCAACAAATATGAGGACAATAGTCCGAATAATGTAAATAGTGTACATAATACCTCATCTCAGAAATATAGACAGATACTGAAGGGTGATAGATATGGCAACAAAGATGAGGATAATAGTCCGAATAATGTAAATAGTGTACATAATACCTCATCTCCGAAATATAGACAGATACTGAAGGGTGATAAATATGGCAACAAAGATGAGGACAATAGTCCGAATAATGTAAATAGTGTACATAATACCTCATCTCAGAAATATAGACAGATACTGAAGAAAAACCAACAAAGGAAATGACTCTTCGTCTATGTGACTGTTTCTGGTGACCATAATATCAAAGATATTTAAAAGATTTAGAAAAATATTGTTTGAGGTTGTCATAATGCGTGAGATTCAGGCCACTATTGTCTCAATTATGATTGGGGCGTTTCAAATCCATACCACTGAACCTACATGAAGTAAATCAGATTAAAGCCTAGTATCTCAACACTTCAGATGTCTGTGTTGTTTGAAACTGTAATTATTCTGTGTAAAGTGCTATTTGTTTGAAGTTATACGACTTGATGTAAAAAACCATAATTTAAGATCTCCAGTTATAATTGGAGCGTCGTCATCTATACTTCTTTGATTACTTCCCAGTAATTAAGAACGTCTTATGAAGGTTACATTTAGGAACAGTGTATAAGCGGATAACAAAGATTATACATAGAGATATACACACTTAAAATAAATCTATAAAAAATGGCAACATTAAACAAACATTAAGCATAACAGAGACAAAAGCAGACATAAAAGTTTTACATGTGACATACCGGCGATACTATCGTTGGACATAAAATTTAGGAAGATGTGAAAAATAAGAACTGGGCATTACAATGTTGGTCCCGGACAAATATGGGCTAACAGGAAGTGGTGAAAAACGATATCCAATCTAAAAAGTAACTAAATTGAAACAAAAGGTTAAAGAAAGTGTCATAGGACTTGGCCTATTTTGCATGAGAGTCCAGCGACTACGAAATAAGTTCGTCGTCACTCAGTATAAAGTGAGGTTTTGAAGGACTTCTACTTCACAGACGAGAAGACATCAGAGCAATATGGCGTCGCTGACAGGATTTCTAATATTGGATGAGCCGGACTTTCTGTAAACGTGACTTCGTTGTTCTGCAGTCCATGCGCGCGCCATGATGTTTAAAGACCACGAAGGTGAAGGGGGAGAAAACGAGATTGCAGATCTCTTTTTGGCTTCGGCATGATCTGAGGCCATCAGAAGGATCTCCATCAGGACGCAGCCCAGAGGATTAGAAGATTTGGCATTTTCACAAATGGCGGACAAACTTATAAAGAGAAATTTGCGACCGAAAAAGAAGCTGGTTATTGTTGATAAGACAGAGTTTCTTGCGAACAAAAAAAAAAATCCAAAAAGTATTTACGAAAATTTTACGGATTGTGTGAGTTTGAGAAATTTGTCACTGGAGAAATGGTCTTCGAAGATGAATTGATAAAATTGAGATCAATTAAAGGTGTGTGCGATACTTTGTACAAACACAACATTTTGGAACAGTTCTATCTGGCTAAAATGTCCTTGGATGTAACTTGGATGCAACTTTAGAGACCTTCCAACAATTAGTCGTTGATTAAAACGTAGAATCAGGTACACATCTCAATATATATATATATATATATATATATATATATATATATATATATATATATATATATATATATATGCATGTATATGTATGTGTGTGTATTTAAATGTGGTACAGTTCAATTTATATTAAAGAGTGAATCATTCATGCAAAAAGTAAATTAGTAAAGTTAATGATATAAAATGGCGAAATCCCTTCGCTAACAAAATTTTAAAGATGCCTTAACCTAACAATTACTCGATGAATGTTATGATTCTTGTTTTTATTTTAAAATTATGAGCTGTATAATGTCTTTTTTAAATACCAAAAACAAAATAATTTCCATGCCTGAAGATGACTGAATGTACGGTCGAAAGTACTTGCGTATTTAAGAAAAACTTGTACAACAAAAATCAAGGATCATTACATCCATCGAGGGATTGAAATTAGTCTCGAAATGAGTTTAATTCCCAGGTGAAATTAGTTCCGAGTTGAAATTAGTTCTGTCACTCATAGACAGTAGTCTGTTCCATAAAGCAGCAGTTCTTGGTAAAAGAACGCTTTGAGTGTAAATTCCTTATTATATTTGGAACATGGGGTGAAAGAGGATGATTCGGCTCCATGGATGTAGCATGACGTGTCCTGGTATGTCTTTTAAATGCCAGTGAACATATCAGCCCATAAAATATGTCATCTCTGGATCTTAGAAGGCGAATTCCCTTCGGAATTTTTCTCTTTTATTTCGTTCGGGTTTTAACTGTTTTCTTTCTTTTTTTGTTTTCGCTTTCACTTTCACTTTCGCTTTCTCTCTCTCTCTCTCTCTCTCTTTCTCTCTCTCTCTCTGACGTGAATAGTATCTATTTCTTTGTGGCTTATTTATTTCTTTATTGGCGCTATAATCTTTCCCTCTGTGTTTCGCATGTTATTCTCTTTATTTTTGTTTCTTTTTTGTTTGTTTTTCTTGTCATCGCCCCTCTCCTTTATCTGTTTTATTTATTTCTCCTTCTTTCTAACACTTTTGGTCACTCTTTATCTCTCCCACTCTCTCTCTTTATGTACACCCCTCCAAATTTTTCTCTTCAACCCCCTCTTTTTAATTCCTCCTCTCCCTCCACCACACTTCCGCTTTTAGGGACCCACTCACTTGCCCACCTATTTCTTCCTCGTTCACCGATTCTCTCTTTTAGCCAATCCCTGAGGGTTTGACAACAGTCAGCCATTCAGATAAGGAGCTTTTCTGCTCTGCAATTAATTCATCTTTTTGTCGTCTGCTTCATCTTTACGGCTGTGGCTCAGCTTCAGCTATTGAGTACAAGACTTCAGCTTCTTCCAATTGATAAGGAGTTGGCCAAGATAATTTGTTAATCAGAAGAAAGAAAATACCGAGTCCCGTTCTAATCCCACAGGGCTAGTGTAATTTTCCGTAAAATCTCCAAATTACATCATCAAAGGTTCCTGCAGATGGACGCCGGTATCACAGATATTTTCCTCCGTTGATATCATCATCCGAATCAAATGGAAATATTACAATTTTGATAATTTAATGGGGCGACCAATATCGTCTTTGAGTTTTTGTTTAATTACGATAGAGATTGAATGACAGGACAACTTCATTCGTTTTTCTTTGGATTTTTCTTCATTTTTCACTTTCCTAGTTTCATTCTCTCTATTCGTTTTCTTGTTTGTGTTTCTTTTTTCATGTGTTTTCATTTGCTTTTAATATTCCTTTTTCACTCTCTTTTTCTTCATCTTTGCTCTCCTCCTTACCCTCTTCGTTTTCCTTTTTCTCCTTACTCTCTTCTTCTTGCATTCATCTTTATTTCGTTCATTTTTTAAAAATATATTCTTCCTCTTCTTCATCATCATCTTGTTAATCTTAGACTCTTCTCTCAGTTTCGCTTTCGTTCTATTAATTCTCTTCTTCTTCTTCTTCTTCTTCTTCTTGCGCTTTCTTTTTTGTTCTTTTAATTCTCTCCCCTTGTTCCTCTTCATATCTTCTTTTTCTTCCTCCTTCTTTTGTTTTAGAGCTTCTAATTCTTATCTTCTTCCTTCTCTCCCCTCTTCTTTTTCTTCTTCCTCCTTCTCCTCTTTTCTTCTTCCCTCCTCCTTCTTACATTCCTTGCTCTTTCCTTTCTGCTCTTTTAATTCTCGCTTTCTTCTTCTTCTTCATCATTTTCTTCCACATTTCCTTTTTCTTCATTATCTTCTTCTCGTCGCTCTTTCGTTTCGTTTTTAATTTCCTTCTTTTTATTACCTCCTCCTTCTTACTCTTTCGTTTTTATTTTTCCTCCTCCTCCTATTCCTCCTCCTCTTCTTCTTCTTCTTTTTCTTCTTCTTCTTCTAGTCCTCCTCTCTCTTCCTCTTCTTCTTCCTCTTAGTCTTTTCTCTTTCTTACTCTCCTTGTCTTATTCTTGTTCTTAGTTCCCCCTCCTCCTTCTCTTACTCTTCTTTCCTTCCCCTCCCCCTCCCAGCATTTCTTCTTTCTCCTCATCTTCTACATCCTCCTCCTTCTAATTTAACTTTTTCTCTTCCTCTTAGTTTCTTCCTTTGTTTCTTCTTCCTCCTTCAACATATCTTCCTTCTTCCCATCCTGAGTTCCCTTCTTTCTCTTCTTTTTAGCCTGTTCTCCTTTTTACTCTTTTCATTGTCAGGTTTTTTCTACTCCTCTTCCTTTCCTCTTCTTCTTCTTCCTTCTCCTCCTCCAACTTCTAATACCTTCTTCTTCATCATCCTTACTCTCCTCGCTCTTTCTTTTGTGTACCTTTAATTCTTCTTCTTCTTCTTCTTCTTCTTCTTCTTCTTCTTCTTCTTCTTCTTCTTCTCACCCCCTCTCGTTTAATTCGATCTTTTTCTTTCATGTACCTTCATTTTCCCATTACTTAAGGAATCTTTCTTTTCAATACATTCGTCTTCCACCATCGTTTCTTTTTTTTCTTTGTTAAAAAAACCCCCAAAAAACAATCTTGATTCATCATCACTATCATCATCATCATCAGCAGCAGCAGCAACAGCAACAGTAGCATCACTATCATGATTAGCATCATCATCATGAGCAGCAGCAGCATTAGCTGCATCAGCAGCAGCTGCACGATCCTTCAAGTCTCCTGAATATCCTATCTCAATTCCGACGGTCCAATTCTCTCGAAATGCTTCTGTCAAGACACATGACATTCTCTTATGTCCCACAGAATGTCACCTTATCGATTTATCAACCACGTCACTGCTCAGGGAGGGGGTACAACTATTGGACGAATCCATGTTAGCCTTGGCAAACTGTTTTTCTCAAAATGAACCAGTCGAAAAATTCAAGTAAAGGAAGACGTCGAAAGGCGGAAATTCCAACTGATAAAATAATCGTCTGTTTACCTTCAGTCGAACATATTTTGTGTCTGACGCTGTTATTGTATCTTTGATGAGTTCGATCCCCATAAGGCGCATCCCATTTGTATAAAAACACTATTCTAACCCGTTTTTTTTTTCTTAACAGAAAATTATTTTCTTGAATGAGGAGTTATCATTTTTTTACATTATTTAAATTCGGACTAATGTCCTCAAATTTATCTTTATTTCGCCATTCATTTACTCAAGCTCATTCTTCTTCTTCTTCTTCTTCTTCTTCTTCTTCTTCTTCTTCTTCTTCTTCTTCTTACGTGCCGCGTTCCTTCAGAACATTGGCGATCATGGCTCTCCACAATTTCCTGTCCTTTGTAGCTCTTAATAAATTTTGTTTTTTTTTTATCTCTCCTAAACCTTGTTCCGCCATCCATTTATTCAAGGTCACCAGGGAGCTTCTGCATTGTTTTTCTCTGTCCTTCTTGACTTCAATCTTTGCTGTGCTGATTATAATCATGGACGTAACATTTGAGCAAACGACGAATTTTTAGGGGAAATAGAAACAAAAAAAAACACACGTATAATTAGATTAGGAAAGAGACAGTGGGAATTTCTAGGGCAAATAAAGAGGAAAGTGGGCTTTGAAAATTTAACACTCAGAGGATATCTTGAAGGAAAGAGAGGTAGAAGAAATCAGCGCGTAACCCCTGCCTTACGAGCTTGTGTAAATGGTTGGCCGAACAGGGATTAATTGAGATAGAAAAAAAAACTTTGCTTAGAGCTTAAAATGACAGGAAGTTGGGGAGAGCAATGATCGTTATCGGGTCGGCATTAAATGACCCATAGGGATTTTATATGCCGTTAAGCAAAAAAAATGTATCGGTACTGGTGGTATAAAAAGAAAATTACAACAATTATAAATTTGGCATTTAATTTCTTACGAAGTAGCTTCCTTCTGAAGCCGTACACTTTACCCAGCATTCCTGGATGAATGGGAAGGTGCGTTGGCATGGTGAAATCTGACACTAACCTGACGCATGCAATTCTGCATTTAACGGACGAACAGCACCCCGCAAACGCCGTAACACATCACGGTAGTACCCCACGTTTATTGCCTGGTCAGGTGGAGGATACTAATCTTATAGAAAACTGTCAACAGTGCTTTCAAATTGCTTCGACTCATTCGTGATTTCTTCAGTCTTGAAGAGTCAGAGGTCTTCCACTTCGAAGACTGTACCGTAGTTTTGGTGTCATAGCTATAGACGCACGATTCGTCACGCGGTATGACCGTTTTCGAACGGTTTTTTGTGATGTGGTGAGACGACCACACTCTACACATTTTCCGTCTAAGCAAGGGAAGTAAGCGAGAACGTTACAACGCGAAAGATTTCAAGGTTTAATCTGCGGCTTCACTTTGCATATTTTAGATCCTTTACTACGGCAAAAGTTCTGATACTTCTTGATCAGACTTCATACTTTAGACGGGCAACTTCTACGTGATATGATGGTTAGCAAGCTTTGTCTCGCAAGATCAATTATGACTAAGGAACGAGATCGATCCTCACTCGGAGTTCTACACTTTTGGCCTTGTGTCACGTTTAAGCTACGGTTAGAAAATCATTCTTAGGCACTTTGATGTGGTGTACTGGTTAGCAAGCTTGTCTCGCTAGATCAATTACAACTGAATAACGATTTCGATCTTCACTGGGTGGCCCATATTTTGGGTCTTGTGCCACATCTAAACTGCGCTTAGAAAACAACCATTCATAGCCTAGAACAATACAATCAATCTCTCAGTATCATTAGGCATTATATCCAACCATTTTTAATGTTTCAATGCATAACTTAGAACAAAGCAATTACGTTGTCATTAGCATCATGTATTATCATAATAATAAAAAAATTAAAAAAAATGTTTGATCAACTAGAAGTTCAGTCGCATTTATAGTATTTTTTTACTGGAAGCATTCAGAATTAATTTAAACGTTATAGGAAATGTGTCTATAAATAGTTGATATTCAAATATCTAAGTTCTCTACAACGAAATATGGGGCTAGGGAGTAAAAGCAAGTTTAATATTTCCGACTCAATGCCGAAAAATAACTTAAATAAACGTATTATTTGGTTACTCAAGCGCGTTCTTCTTCTATGAGCCATGAAACTTGGCGATCATGGCTCTCCACAATTTCCTGTCATTTGTACCTTTTAATAAATTTTGTCTTTTTGTTATCTCTCCTAAACCTTCTTCCGCCATCCATTTACTCAAGCTCATTCTTCTTCTTCTATGTGCCGTGTCCCTTCAGGACGTAGGTGATCATGGCTCTCCACAATTTCCTGTCCTTTGTAGCTCTTAATAAATATTGTCTTTTTGTTATCTCTCCTAAACCTTGTTCCACCATTCGTTTACTCAAGCTCATTCTTCTTCTTCTTCTACGTGCCGTGCCTCTTCAAGACGTTGGTGAACATGGCTCTCCACAATGTCCTGTCATTTGTAGCTCTTAAGAAAGTACGTCTTTTTGCTATTTCTCCTAAGCTTTGTCCCGTTATCCATTTACTTAAGCTCATTCTTCTTCTTCTTCTTCTTCTTCTTCTTCTTCTTCTTCTTCTTCTTATTCTTCTATGTACCGTGTCTCTTTAGGACGTAGGTGATCATGGCTCTCCACAATTGCCTGTTTTATGCAGTTTTAATAAACTGTGTCTTTGTGACATCTCTCTTAAACGCTTGATTCCCATCCATTTTACCCAAGATCACTAGGTAGTTTTCTGGCTGTTTTTTTTTTCTGTCGTTCTTGCTTTCCGTCGGTCCTGTGAGTATTACATTTTCCGAGCCTTCTTTCCTCATTATGTGCCCTAAAAATTTCAACTGTCTCTTCCTGATGTTAAGCATAGGTGTCCCTTTTGTTACCATTTACTCTAAAATTTTGTCGTTGTTCACCTGTGCAGTTCATTCTTAGCATCCTTCTGTTGAACCGAATTTCTAAGGAAATATTAACTTTTCTTTTGCTTAGATTTTGGATGGCATCTTTCGCTATACCAATACATCTTCGGATTTCAATGTCGGACATTCCATCCTCTGTTAAAACACTTCTCAGATATTTAATAGTTGTAAGTTTATGTTCTCTCCAGTTTGACATTATGAAATGGACAAAGTCCGACAATTATTTTAAGACATTTACTTTATGTTTATACGTTCTTTTTATAGATACAAATATTGAAGTAATTACTCTGCTTATAATAAACAGTATTAACGACATTTACCGGCCTGACGTGCTTTTACCGATTTCGCCACAGAGAAGCGTTTCGGTTAGCAAGGTCGATTTTACTGTTTTTAAACTACAATTCTCCATGATTTTCTCTCGTACATTCATATCTGCTCGATGCGTATCCAAATGTAAACAAATGACGTTACACATTATGAAATGGAGAAGTCCGACAATTATTTTAAGAGATTTTTTATGCTTATGACTGAACCTTCCTCTGTGGCTCAATCGGTAAAGCACTTCAGGATATATGACGGCTCCGTATAGTATACAGGTTCGATTCCTGTCGGAGGATGCATATTTCCTATGAAAATATCTCGGACATTCAGACCGGTAAATATCGTTATTAGTGTTTATTATAAACAAAGCATTTGCTTAGATATTTAAACATAAAAAAATGGCTTAAAATATCTCCAGTTAGTTATTTACACGTTGGATAGTCCCTTTTGCTGACAATCTGTATTCTTGCAATAAATGTTTAACCTTTTGTTCTTGTTTTCGTCCACTAACTTCTGAAAGAGTTCCTGTAGTTTCCTTTCTAAGTTTCTTGTGAACACTTTGCCACCTGTGTATTTTATGATGTTAAGATTTGGAGTGGATTTTATTTCTCTCAGAATCGACCCATTGTATAGGCTCAAAAAAGTCCGGTGAGAAGAGATATCCTTGACTTACGGTCAGTCAGTTATTTGCTATGCGTGATTAGGCGATCATGTATCTTCCGATAGATGACTGACGAGACAGATGTTGCCATTTCTTTTTGCGGTAGACAAGTTGCCATCTAAGGCTATAGATGAGGACCTACAAATTACCCATAGGAGGGGGAGGAGAAGAAGAAGAAGATTCATACCTTTCCCAAAGATATTAGCATGTAAGTGAATGTAATGGATTTGACTGGAATTCGAACTCGGCTCTCCGATTTCCGAACCCGAGCCACTAACTATTCTTCCACCATACCTCCTTCTTGACTTAAAACTGTTTCTATTTTTGTATATTTACTGAATTCTTTTTCTCTCCGTATTTTTCCAGTATAGACATTGGATTTTTCCTTCCTCAATATGTTAAAGTTCCCTATGAGTTCCAACAGTACTTTGAGACGCACTTTATCAAACGCGTTGCATATATATATATATATATATATATATATATATATATATATATATACACATATATATATATGTATATATATATATATATATATATATATATATATATATATATATATATATATATATTAAGACATTTATGTTTATACGTTCTTTTTATAGATACAATATAAACATAAACAAGATATAAACATAAAAAAGTCTTAAAATAATTGTCGCATTTTGGCCATTTCATAAGGTGTGACGTAATTTGTTTACATTTGGATACGCATCGAGCAGATATAAATGTATGTGAGAAAATCATAGAGAATTGTAGTTTAAAAAATAGTAAAATCGACCTTGCTATCCGAAACGCTCCACTGTGGCTAAATCGATAAATCACGTCATGCTATATGACTGTTCCGTATAGGATACAGGTTCGAATCCTGTCGGAGGACGCATATTTTCTATTAAAGTTTCTCGGACATTAAGGCCGGTAAATGTCGTTAATACTGTTTATTATAAAACAGAGCATTTACTGTTTCTATCTATAAAAAGAACGTATAAACATAAAAAAAAATGTCTGAAAATAATTGTCGGGCTTTCTCCATTTCATTTATATATATATATATATATATATATATATGTGTATATATATATATATATATTTGTATTGCACTTTCTGTTATCATTCTCAGCATTCCTTGTTCGAGTGTCTTTAACGAACCATCATTCCATTCTTGTTTTGTTT